CGAGGGTCGACTCGTGGGGAAGCTGTCAAATTCCTCGTCCAACTCATCCGGATGGGCAAAGTCTGCCCTTGAAAGCCGAGCATCCATGTGAGGTGGGTGCCTTGGCCTGAACCAGTAGTTCCATATGCCAATCACAAAGAGGTAGAGGATAATTGTGGGCAATATTAGTTTTGGGTAGCAAACTAATATCACAAACAAGATATGGACGAGGCACGTTGTGATCGGGTTTCTCCAGTTGCATGTCATTAAACCATCTGCAGACAGTCAGTGACCCCGCTAAGAACCGACATCCTTGGACGGGAGTATACCTTCTTCGGCATCCACGGTTCAGGAGCAAGATGATGGTGATGAAGAGGTGGGGGTGCCTGTGTCAAAGTGGACCAGGAGAGTGCAGGACTTCTCCATTGGGGATCCGAAATTGGGATTGGATCTCGGCGGATCCGAAACGGGGAAAGTCGGATCTGAATCGGAGAAATGTGATGGAGGAGGAGGAGATCTGGGCGTTTGTTTGGATGGGAGGGGAGGTGAAGAGAGTGGAGGAGAGGGAGGTGGGGTGGGGGTTGAGGGGGAAGTGGGGTGTTTGGGTTGCAGGGAAGGGAAGGGCTCGGGGAAGAAGATGGTTGTTGTTTTTTTTTTTTTAAATAGGGTAAATTATTATAATATTTAAAATGTATAAAAAATTATTTTTTTGTCACATGACACAAATTTGGCAGTCACGTCAACACAAATGTGGATCTCATATTTGCCAATTCATCACTTAACGGTTTACTTAACATATTTTCTAACGGATGTATGAAATTGAAATAAAATGATAAGTAAATGTATGAAATTAAAATGTTTTAAAGATGTTATAAGGAATTGAAATCGATTCTTGCGGGGGTAAAATGTAATTTACCTTTTAAAAAAATACAAAGCAAAAATTTGGAAATTTCTTTAGTACTACATAGCATAGCAGATGATACAAAAATGAAGAGATTGAAAATAGAAAATATAAACAATTGTGAAAATTATGGTTAAACCACTTGTAGCATTGACTGATACGTAGTATTAAAGTCATATAAAAAAAATTGAGCCAAAATAATCTCAACTTTCACAAAATTAAATTTACTATCATTATGGTATGACCGTATGTCATGCAAATCGAAGAGGAATGGTGTATTACTAATTGAAGTTTGTAATGACATTTTGGTCTGATTTCTTTGTAAACTCTCTGCTTTGTAAGGGCCAACACGTGGAGGGGGCCTTTTAGTTAAATAAAAATCAAGGCTTTTTGTTTGTACTTCACAGCATCTTTGTAGTAATCAAGGACATGATCCATAAATTAGGCAGTGTAGGACCTTTTTGCTTTGTTTATGTTTGTAAGGAGAGCATTTGTAGCATGGAAATAAGGAATGAATAAATAACAGTGAGTCATTATTTCCAAAAGAAAAACGATTGCATTTGCATATACCCCTTTGACTCCATTTACAATCGTGAATGGGGAGAAAAATTTGTATATAACCGAATATTATTTCAGGGTATTTTAACATATATAATTTATGATAGGTTTAGAATACTGTTACTTTGATGTTTTGGTTAATATATATATGTTTAATGGGTTTCATGTTCCATGAGTAAGTGTTGAGATTATGAATTCCACATTAGTTAAAAAAAATGAACATTGCATGTGCTTATACGTAATTAAAAACTCACCATATTGTCAATTAATTTATAATGAAATATCAACTTTTTTCAAAATTGCAAATGTGGAGCTGTATGTCAAATTTGCTGAGCGGATCCCATCTTTGCCCTTCGTTTTTCTTTTTCTTTCGGTCCAGTAGTTGGACAAATATACAAATCTCAGATTTAGTTTGTACACAAAATAATGTCACAATGCCCCATTCCTTCACATTTGAACGGGTTTACTATTTTATTTTCTTTTACGAATTTTATTTTTTTCAAGATACATCATTTGGATGAGTTTACTTTCTTTTGTGGCCTCTTGACAATTTAAAGGTCAAACTCATATCTGTTGCAAGAACTTACACAGACAACTTAGGAGTATTAGATGCCATAAAAAGGTAAATAATCTTACATGGCATCCGCCCCCAGTAAGCCTATGGTGGCTCCATCCTTGCCAAGGTGTTGTCAGGGTCGATCCTAAGGTTTTTAGTGCACAATGCGAAGGCTCAAAACGTGCATTTTTTAATACACAAACATATATTTAAAAAAAATATATATATATTTAAAGAGGGCTGGAACCCAGTTGAAGCTGGGGGGCTAGGCCCTCACGCCCATATTATATTACTTGAGAAAACATACAATGGGTGGAGCAGCGTCTGTAAACCCCGACAATCAAAAGTAAAATCATATACAACCACTCTAAGCAAAACTCCATGAAATTTCAACCTTCAAGAAATCGTCTTCAATAATTTCATCCAATAATTCAGGGGTAGATTCCTATCAGATAAAAAGCTAATTGATGATAGATTTACTTTAGACGTGGCTCCTTCTCCTTCACTGATTCGGTGCTGTTCAGTCCTTTTCAACCAGCAACAAGAACTAAAGGCAGCATTATTCCCACAACGTTTACTTATCTGCAAGTAAGGATAGTGAACAGCAACAAGAGCTGTTCAGTCCTTCACGAGGCTTCGGATTTTTTTTCAAAAATCATAATGTTTACTTATCTGCCTTCTAGGGGAGAAAGATTTTATTTTATTTTTACTATAAGAAAATAAAGCATTGACCGGTCAAAGTCAAAGTTGACTGTTGACCAAGTCAACGGCCCGTAGGGTCAACGATTAGGGCTTTGGGTTGGACCGGGTTGGGCTTAAGTTTTGGGTCTTGGGCCCAGTGGGTTGGGCTTAGGGGGTTTTGCGGATCTAAGGTTTTGGGTTTAGTGGGTTTAGCTCTTAGGGCTTAAAGGTTTTGGGCTTAGGGCCCAATAATTGGGCCAACGGCTCTTGGCAGTCTCGGCCCGAAGGCCTTAATTCAGGGGTTTAGGTTTGGGCTGCCCTAAGGCTTTGGGCTCAGGCTCAACGGCCCGAAGGCCCAGTTCTACAACGACACAAGGGCCTGGTCCGTTTCTCGCCGGGGAACAAGGCCGGAGCCTTCCTAGCTCCGGTCGACGGCAACACCAAACGTTAAGGTACGATCTATGTATTAAAATGACAAGTGAGACGTGGGGAAGAGTTCATACCTAACTCACGTCGTGGGACGGCCGGAACTGGCCGGAAACCTGCTGAAGGGCACGGGGCTCGACGGAAATTGAAAACTGTTTCCCCGAGCTGTTTTCGTGCCTAACCTTCACCAAAACCATTTTTCCACTTAAAAACAATAAGTCTAGACTACGAGGAGAGGAGATCGGAGGGTGATTTCGACTTACCTTGGTCGGAAAAGCTTGTACAGTGACTGCAACGGTGTCGGGAACGAGAGAGGGAGAGTTTGGTGCTTGGTCGAGGTCGAGGGTCGTCGTCACTGCCAACAAGTGGTGAAGATGGTGTCTGTGTAGATCGGGGAGAAGGAGAGAGTGCGAGGGAGATGTGGGCGAGTTCGGGGGAGAGAGAAAGAGCTGAAGGAGAGGGAGAGAGTTGACTCGGGGAGGGGAAAGAGAAGGGAGAAGGGGACTTGGTGGTGTGGTGCTGCCACGTGGCAAGCATAGAGAGGAGGATAAATGGAGAAAACCTCCGAAAGGGATTCGGAACTCGGTGAGTGAGCATAAGCCATAAGGGGACTAAAATGCAATTTCATATATTTTTAGGGAAAATGAGAAATTACATTAAAATTTGGGTTTGCTTTCTTTTGTGGCTTCTTGACAATTTAAAGATCACACTTTTCTATCTGCTGCAAGAACTTTCAAGAACAACTTAGGAGCATTAGATGCCATAAAAAGGTAAATAATCTTGCATGGCATCCGCCCCCAGTAAGCCTATGGTGGCTCCGTCCCTGCCAAGGTAAATAATCTTGCATGGCATCCGCCCCCACTAAGTCTATGCATATGGATAAGGATTGTCTGCCCTCCACTTCCGGTGTCTTTTCCGTGCCCTCCTGTTTGTGTGGTCATGGTTAAACCACGTCAATATTTTATTTTACTATTCATTTTTGTCTTATTATATCTATAAAAAAAAACAATATAAAATGTTGACGTGGCTTAACAGTAACCACACAAAACAGGAGGGCACGGGGAGGGCACCGGAAGTGGAGGGCAGACAATCCTTGTCCTTTGCATATACCCCTTTGTCCACATTTACAATCATGAATAAGGAAACAAACTTGTATACAACCGATTATTATTTCAGGGTATTTTAAATTAAACATGTAATGTCATGTAACAAGTTATAACACAATGCATTTATAATAGGTTTAGAATAATGTTACTTTGATGTTTTGATTTACATATATATGTTTAATAGGTTTCACGTTCCATGAGTAAGTGTTGAGAGTATGAATCTCACATCAATAAAAAAAAAACATCACATGTGCTTATACGTAATTAAAAACTCACCATATTATCAATTAATTTACAATGAAACATCAAATTTTTTCAAAATTGCATATACAGAACTGTATGTCAAACGTGCAGATCGAATCCCATCCTTTCCTTTTGTTTTTTTGTTTTTCTTTCGGTCTAGTAATTGGACAAATATACAAATCTCCGATTTTAGTTTGTACACAAAATAACGTCACAATGCCCATTCCTTCACATTTGAACGGGTTAACTTTTTTATTTTCTTTTACGAATTTTATTTATTTCAAGATACATCAGGATGGGTTTACTTTCTTTTGTGGCCTCTTGACAATTTAAAGGTCACACTTTTCTATGTGCTGCAAGAACTTTCACGAACAACTTAGGAGCATTAGATGCCATAACAAGGTAAATAATCTTGCATGGTATCCGCCCCCAGTAAGTCTATGGTGGCTCCGTCCTTGCCAAGGTGTTGTTAGGGCTGGTCCTAAGTTTTTTAGTGCATACTGCGAAGGCTCAAAACATGTCTTCTTTTTTTTTAATACACAAACATATATTTAAGAGGGCTGAAACCCAGTCGAAGCTGGGGGGCTAGACCCTCACGCCCAAATTATATTACTTGAGAAAACATACAATGGGTGGGGCAGAGTCTGTAAACCCCGACAATCAAAAGTAAAATCATATACAACCACTCTAACCAAAACTCCATGAAATTTCAACCTTCGAGAAATCGTCTTCAATCATTTCATGATCATGAGACTCCTCACCAACATTTTGTAAACCTTCACCAACAATTTGTAGATGGAGGACCGGTTTTGAATGAATTTAATTCATAAACTGCTACTGTTTGACAAAAGGCTTCTGCAGGTTCCCAAGTAAAATCGCTCCTCCGGCGAATCTCCAAAAAAGTCAAAGTTTGCATATGCATTTTGAAAGTCTTCTTCAGCTGTGTACCTGAAATTGGAGTTTTAAGAGATGAAGTGAAAATGTTTCTCATTTGATTGCCCTAAAAATTTGACATACGTGACTAGCAAGGATTACACACAAAGCATGCTCATGAACTTTCTATCAAATTAGAAGTATAATATGAGATACCAAGAAGGTGGGAAATATGTTACCTGCTTTTGGTTACGATACACTTCATTCCAGCAACTTCGGCTGCTGCAAGGCCCATGCCGATGTCCTCCACCACAGCTGTAGAAAAAGGAAAGATGTTATATTTTATCCTAGACAGTTGGGGTAGAGAATGCACATGTTTGTAGGAGTAAGTTACTTCTTGTTGGTAGCTTGAATTTTCTTCTTAAAATAACAGAGACTGCTTCCTTCATATCATAAACACAATTAATTATCAAAGATAAATATGTAAATCCTTTATAATTGCATAAAAAAGTGGCTCAAAGGAGATAGTGTTACCTTCACAGCCCGAAGAACTCTCAGTAAAATATTAAGGTGTTGAGACAATGGTGAGTAACACCATAATGAAGAGTGATCCAAAGTACCCAATATGGACCTGCACTGAGCAAACTTTGTTTCGCAATTCAAATTACTCTTACAACACCGTTATCATCAATGGCATAATCACTAATAAGTTCATGGTGAATATGAAATGGAGAAAACCTGAAGAAGGGAAAACATGCGTGCTTACAACACCGTTATGTACTGGAGCTGATTTTACAGACTCTCATCCTCAATAAAGCATCCATAATTTCTGTCATTCATTAAAGACAGTACTAAGTCCATAGGACATTGTACGAACCTTCCATACATGCCAGCTGGGCTACATCCATGCTTAGTAGTTTCTCTGGTGTTTACTATAATTACATTTCAAAATGAGCATGAGTCTTTTGGAGAGTAACTGAAGAGAGAGAGAGTTACGATTAGGGTAGTACAATTGTTTTTCAGTTTCAAATCTCAAGCTCGCCCTCTATTCAACAGTTGGCTGCTCCTTGCACTCTCCTTTCACAACAATGCTGGGCACAAAGGACGCTAGGAAGCCCAAGCTTCTAGGAATCTACACAACACAAAAAAATCAAATGAATTCAAATCTGTGCAAACTCATAAGGATGCATTTTGATTTGGCGACGAGTATCAAACAGAGAATATTGGTCCAGTTGCAATCGACAAGCTAAAAGATTACCAATTTGTATCCAAATTCTGATTTGATGATAAGGAAACATGATTGAGGTTGAAAAATGATAATGATCCATGCATGAGTTTTGATACAAATCCCAATTCTGCCTGTACAAAGATAACACCAAAACAACATAAGAAAAACATGAATAACAGATTTCAACTTTTCAACTGATAGTAAAAAGCTTGTAACTGAAGATTCATTTACCTAATTTCTGCAATAGTGCGGCTACACTCTGTTCATCAAGTTATTCGAGGATTATCAGTGACAGAGACAAACGTCAACTGAATTCAAATCCCTCTGCATACAATTTTAGTATCTGTTAAAAAATTACAAGTAATCATAAAAGTTCGTCCAAAATCTTCATAAGAATAATAACTTTTTTGCATATTATATGAATATGGTTTTAGCAGATAACAAGTCTTGGAATAACATTTGCCCACTTTCCTCATTATGCAAGAATCAAAGGGATAAGGAAATTGCTACAATTTTCATCGGGATGAAAAGTCATTAGTCTCTCATTCGAACATACCAACAATAATCTCACTCTTGATGATTGCATTTCAATTAACTTTCTCACTGAGTCCCAAAAAGTCCCAAGATCTTGAATGTTCTGCTAGGAAAGACACAAAAATCAACAATAATATCACTCTCAGTAATTTCAGCAATAATATGGGTACTCAATAGTTCATTAAGTTAATAGAGCGATATCAACTACAACAACAACAACAACAAAGCCTTTTCCCACTAAGTGGGGTCGGCTAAAGAGCGATATCAACTACAGACACAAAATCAATAGTATTCAAATCAACGCGCATACAATTCAGATATTACAAGGAGCCTCAAAACTCAGTCCTAAATCTTCATACGAAAGCAATTACAACAGTTCTATATATTATATCAACATCGTTATTCTGAAAACAGTCTTGGGATAATATAAACAAACAATGCAGGAACCAATGGAATAAGCAAACTGCAAGAGACTTGAAGCAACAAATGTGTTAAATCTACAACTACCATTGTGTCAGGATAAAAAGTCATTTGCCGATCATTTTAAAACAACAATCTCCCCAGAAGAAAATTCCACTTAAAAAAATTTTTGGAACAAAACAATGTGAATCAGAATGAGAACTAATCTGGCATGTGTAACACAAAGTGATCGACTGATGGTTGAACAACCAAATCCGCTTCGATTTCAATGTATTTCTCAACAACAACGTTGTAAGCCAATTCAGGAAGTACATGCTAGCTTGAAAAGGTATTTCTGAACAACAACGTCATGAGAAATGAAGGTTGAGCGAGAAAATTAATATCTTGTGCATCAATACCTTAACTCAGTTTGCACCCATTGAGCATCCTGAAAAACGCCACTGCAGGCCAAAAGAAATATAGACGCCACTGGAAAACACACAACATATATATATATATATATATATAGTAAGTCAGAAGTGAACAGTACAGTATGTTGATCAATTAGAAGAAAATAGGAGGTGTTCTTACATGACTTAATTTCAATGCGAAAGTTGGAGCCATTTGGAGTTGGTTTGAACATGAAACTGGAATACAAATAATCTTGTGGCCTTGCACACCATGAAATTTGGTTTTTCCAATACACATTTGCTGTAGTTTGGTAAGGTGCTGCCTACCTTCCATCCAACTACTGTGTGACCTACCAAACTGATTTAAAAGAAGAGGGAGAAGAATAAATAACTTTTGTTATGCTAGTTTAAATTTGTATGTAGTAGTTGAGACGAATAAAAGAAGAAAAGAGATAAACATGTAACATGAACTCTGTAATTTCATTTCAAGAATTTTAGAACTTACTTTCGATATTTGGAATGTGAGAAATCTTAGGCCAATCTGTGCCGCTGTCCCTGCTGCATCTTTGCTTTAGAAGGGGATGACAGTGATTAATCCACAGGATTTGTAATTTGGTGAGGCGTTGCATAGCTTGGACACTAGGTAAATTGGTCAGATTCTTGCAATCTTCAATCCATAGAAGTGTAAGGGATGTAAGGCTACCCAACCATTCTGGCAAAGTCTCCACTCCCTCAAAGTGATGTACTCTCAAATCTGTTAGAGAAGTGAGGTGTTGAATTTGTTGAGGCAGAGACTTGAGCTTAGGCCAACCATACAACGTTAACCATCTAAGATGCATTAATGATCCAACTTGAAAATCAGGGAAGGAATCGAGCTCCTCCCAGAACCCACCGATGCTCAATCCCTCCAAGTGCGGGAGCCGTTGTAACCCCGTCGGCAGATGTTTTAGCTTTCGCCAATTTACAATCCCCAAATAACGGAGAGAAGTGAGGTTGTCTAAACTTGGAAGAATCTCTAAATTAGGGAAATCCTGTATTGTAGCGTCTCAAGAGAGAGTGGGAATTGCAGCCTGCTCACCCAACTTTCCAATCCTTCACATTGGACAATTATCAGTACTCGAAGGGAGGTGAAGGTGCGCAAATCTGAAAAAGATTGTAGACTAATGCTGTTACTTTGGACCTTTGGGCATTCACTTATATGAAATACCTGAAGAGAGGGAGGAAGAGCAGGTAAACTCGATAATTCTTCGCAATAATAGATTGTCAACTTCTGAAGAGAGGACACGCCGCCTTTGATTTCAATTGATGTCAGATTACGGCAATGCACTATATTCAAATCCATGAGAGAGGCCCATACACTCAGTGGGCCTGATAGTCCATCGCAACATTGTAAATGCAATTTCTGGAGAGAGGGGCAGTACCGTATCCCACTCGGTAGGCCTGACAATTGTTCACAATAACCAATATCCAGGTATTCAAGGAGAGGGAGTGTGTCTAGCCCATCCGCCAAATGCCTCAGCTTATCGCATCCGTTTATCGTCAAAGATGAGAGATTATTATTGTTCTTCAAAATTCCTTGTGGCAAACAGGTAAGCTCCTTAATACCATTTATTTCGAGGGAAACAAGAGTTGTTAATTCACTGCTTATTTCTTCTATTGGCGTTCCACTATCACTATAATTTATCACCAACTTTTGAAGAGATGGAAAATGACTCGGAACATTTCTCAATTTGGAACAATCTTTGATATCCAACTCCTCGAGGCAAGGAAAAACCACAACTTTTTGTGTTGACATCATTGGCGCTTCCATCCATTCAATTAGATTGTTGCACTTCACAATATGTAATACTTTTAGTGCAGGAAATAAAGTAATTTTCTCCTTACCTGTCGTGGCTACATCGTGGACAAGATCATAACCATAGAATTCAACTCCAAGGCATGTCAAATTAGCCATTCCATTAATATTAAGCTCCGTAAGATTGGGCAGATGACCAAGCGGTGGGACTCCTTCACATTTGTCGCATCCAAGTAGCTTAATGCCCTTCAAGTTGTTGAGTAGTAATGACCTTCTCATCATCCACGATGGAAACCTATCTCCCATGAAGTTTTCAATACATAAGCTCTCCAACCCAGGATGCGGTCGGAGGCCTTCCAGTACATCCCCATCTTCATTGTTGTTGGTTATTGACCTATCTTTTGTCCATTTGAAGCTTAAATGGCATACTTCCCTCTTATCATGTAACTTAGCTTTCTTTGCTTCTTCTCCATTCTTTACGTGCTCCAGATTACGAATAATTAGTTTACCTTTCAATTGTTTCAAGCCAGCCAACTCTTCAATTTGACGACCAATTTCATTACCCACCGAAAAGTAAGGTAATGTTCGAAGGCATGTTAGCCGACTTATACCCTGGGGGAATTTTGTACTCTCATCAAAATAAATATGTCTCAGGTTGGTCAAGTTTTGCAGTTCTTTTGGAAACTCTTTAAGAGCACAATTCGTTGCTCTTAACGTCTGAAGGTTATAGAGCTTGCCTATAGACTTGGGGAATGATTTGAATCTTGTTTCAGAAATGTCAAGATACCTCAAGTGTTTCAGTCTTCCAACTGAAACTGGAAATTCTTCAATATTAGCATTACTTAAATTTAAGACACGTAAAGCTTTGAACCGTGCCAAAATGTTACTAGGAACTTCACCATCGTCGAAAAACAACGACCGCAATTTCCTAGCACTTATTTCTGGAAGTTTATCCAGCATAGAAGTAGAAACCCGAGCAACATGTCGAATCTCATTTGTATTATCTATGCCACGTAAGTCTCCAGTCAAGCTTTCTGATTTGGATACAAGTTCCGCCATATCGTGCACAAGATCATGCATCTTGTATTTTCTAACAATGCCATTATGACTCATTCCAGCATCTTGAAATAAGGATCTCTGCAATAGAACATCAAAATATTCATTGCCAATGTCTTCCATATCTTTACTTTCGCCAAGCAAAGAGTGGAGTAGTCCTTGAGCCATCCAAAGTTGAATCAAGTTCTCTCTTTGAATTTCAAAATCTTTTTCGAACATTGAGCAGTATGAAAAACATTGCTTCAACGATGGTGATTCTAAGTTGTCAAAACTCAACTTCAACACTCGCATAATTCTATCTTCTTCTTTTGATAGGTTGTGCCATATTATACTGTTTTGAAACAATGACCATTCTTCAATACTTTTTTTAGTGTGCAAAATGCCTCCCAAAACCTGTTAGATTGGATGAGTGAGTTTCAAAGGGTCCTAAAACAGTGTAGAAAATAGGGATTCATATAAAATAAGAAGTTTTGTCTTACTCAATTTTGAATCTTGCCCAAAAAACAAAATCTAAGCCATGTGCAAAATGATATTAGCTTCCATTATTTTTGGTGTTTGACAAAATTTCCAAAATACCCATTAAGTAGTTAAAAACACGTTTTTTTTCTTTGATTTGTTGGTGTAACGAATTAATTTTATCGAGTTTCTGTCTTGTTCAAATCTATAAGTTGCTAATCCTGGTTTTTGCAAAAGAAAATGTTAGGAATATCACATTTTTATATACCATCTAATGTATAACTTATAAGTAATGTGTACATGCTATGCAATTACTAATTGGGTGCTTTAGATTTAGCCCCTTACAACTGTTGAACTCTAGACATAAACTCACCTATATTAAAACATCTAAATAAAACCCAAATTTTGAATTTGATGCCATGTAAGATAAAAGATGTCCATACATTTAAATTTATTTACAACACCATGCCACCAACATTAATATGGCTATTACGGTTTTTTTTTGTAGACTTTTAATTTATTGTCTTTTGTTTGTCAACAACATTCAATTAGTTTAAGTTTTTTTTTTGCTTTTAATTTAAAAAAAATGAGAAGAAGTTCTTTTCTTCTTTTATGTGAAATCGCCTAATCCAAATCTAATTAGTTCAATATACATTCTATTGAAAAAGTAGATACATTAACTTGTGAAAATTTAAAAAAAAAAAAGGTAAAAATAAACTAGTAGATACATTGTTTCTTGTAAAAACTAAACAATAGTTACATTATTTTCATAAAAAAAAACAATATGTAAATTTTTTTTTAAATTACACAATAGGTACACAATTTTCGTAAAAATTAAATAATAGGTATTTTGTTTTTGGAAGGAAAAAAAACAAAACTAGTAGAAACATTGTTTCTTTTAAAACTTAAACAATGAATTTATAAGGTAAATTAGTTTGCATGTATTTTGCATATATGGGTTTGTTATTATGTGGGTAAATTATTTTTCATGTATTTTACATATACTGGGTATATTATTTTTATTTTTTTAAGCAATCTAACATTTTAAAATTTTAATAGTAGGTGCACTATTTGAATCAAATGGTTTTTTTTGTAGGTAAATTATTTTGGATGAATTTTACATATATCAGGCATTTATCTATAGATATATATATGTGTGTGTGTGTGTGTGTGTGAGAGAGAGAAATAATTTACCTACATTAATATGTAAAATATAATTTTATTGACTTAATTAAGCATGTATAATAACATATATTAGACATGTTTTATGTTATTATATATTAGGCAATGAATTTATAACATTAATTTTTTTTTTTTGTAAAATCATTAATTCTCCCTTACTATCCATCCGCCATGGCATTAATTATGTACATCAAAAATTTAAATAGGGTTTATAAAAAAAAATTCAAATAGGGGTATTTTAGGCATCCGAAATTTTTTAATATGTGAAGTCAAACGTAATTAATGAATTTGCTGATGTGGAATCTAGTCAATGGGTTTTATTCAAGAAAAAAACTTATGTCGGGTTTTATATAGAGAAAAATAAATTTTAGGGGCTAAAGTCATATTTTCAGATTTTGGTGAAGTTGTTACACCCTACGGAAAACCAAGCTACGTCAATTGTACTTTCAAAATTTGAACTCAATTCATCATCCGCAAATTATACAACTAAAATTCGACGATATTAACCAGTTTGTTTGCTACTAAATATCAGTCAAACTAAAGACCTTTTAGTCATTCATATGTATTGAACAAATTGACGATTTTGGTATCAAATAAAATATCCATGATATCAGATAGGTAATATCTATGATTTGAAATGAAATTTTATAATGATGATCTTTAAATGATGATTACGCAAATGAATGGTCTAGATAATGTAATTTGTATGGTTAAAATATATTTGTGACAAGGCCTTGTCCTAATTTATAAGTGGGTGAACCCCATAAGTTGAATGCAAATATTATCCTAGTTCACAAATGAAAACATGTAAAAACTAAGTTCCAATTTCATGTTATTGTATACGATAATAGTACGCACCTTTGCCACTAATGGAACACCACCACAATTTTCAGCAATCTTCATTCCAACTGTCTGGAATTCATGAGTTATATGATCACTGCTATTGAGGAAAGCTCCATCTTTTATGATGGACCAACATTCATCTACTGAAAGGTGTTCCAGATCATGTCGTGCAAGTAATTTTTCTGAGATTGATGCAACATTTCCACTTGCGAGTAGTGACAACAATTTTAGATCCTGCAGCAGAATAAAGCTTTGACAAACATTCCATCAAATTCTCCCATTTTCCGGAATCTTCGTTCCAAACGTCATCAAGTACGAGTATGTATCTTTTATCTTTCAACTCTTCATTAAGGAACTTAAGCAGAGCTTCCGGTTATCTTTCGAAGAAGGGGCGTTTGCCGGTTTAAGTTGTTCTAACATCTTGAGTAGAATTAAATCAACATCGAAAAGTGTCCGATACACAAACCCATATTCCTGTTTCGAAATGCTTGTGTATCAAAGCCTCATTATAAACGGACTTGGCCAATGTTGTCTTTCCGAGGCCACCCATTCCCACGATGGCCATAACCGCAGGATTTTCTTGATTGTACTTGGAGTCGGTCAAGGTTGTAACTATTTTTGTCACAACCTCTCCCCTTCCAACAGTTATTCCATCTCTGCCAATACGTGAGTCGGTTTGTCTATCCCATCTGATCCCCTGAGGGGTTGCACCTTTATTCTTGGAAACTAGTCCAAGAACAGATGCTTCACTCTTGAGTTCCACCAAGGATGCATTGATCTTCTGCATTTTATGCGCCATTTGAAGACGAAATGCAAGTGGATTGGAGAGTGAAAAGAAGTTAAGAACCTTTTTCTTCATATGGTTTTGGATTTCGACTTTACGCCGATCAACTTCGTACTGGAGTTCATCCAAGACATCCTCAGCATCCTGAGCTACGTCTTTGAGGTTCTTCACCCATTCCTCTATTGACTTGCTCCGACCTGTTAGACAATGAAAAAGTAGAACAGTACTTGAGATGGGTAGTTAAATTGTAGCATGTGTGTGTGAGATTATAAGAGAATTCAGAAATATATGCTACCTTGTGGTTGGTCGGCAACATCAACCAAGAAACATTCAATGCCGGTGAATGACTTTCGAACCTCTCTGAGTTCAGCTTTGAAACCCCATGCAAGACCGAATTCTTGAGCAGGAAGCGAAAGCACCTTGTTCAGTATTCCCTCCGCAGCAAAAGTAAGCACAGCTTCAGCCGCCATTCCTTCAATTCCCTGCAACTCAGCTAATCAGAGTTTTTAGTTTCTCTCTTCTTCGAGACAATACTAGTGCAATGGAGGAAGATATGATGGACAACAATGTCGGTAGGTTTAACTTTTTGTAACGTGAAAAAGGTGGTGCATCCAATAATTCAGGGTAGATTCCTATCAGATAAAAGCTAATTGAGGATGGATTTACTTTAGACGTGGCTCCTACTCCTTCACTGATTCGGAGCTGTTCGGTCCTTTTTTACCAACAACAGGAATTAAAGGCAGCATTATTCTAACAACGTGTGTCACGAGGCTTCGGATTTTTTTTTTTTTTTCAAAAACCATACATCATGCGTACAGCTGGTTGCAAGTAAGTATTATTATTATTATTTTTTTGGTAAAGATGCAAGTAAGTATAAGTGATCGTAAAAGTCTACTTATGCTTTCTAGGAGAGGGATTTTATTTCATTTTCTTTAAGAAAATAAACAATTAACCGTTCGCAAGTAAATAATGTTGAGTCTTAATTTTAAGTAATTTGATTATTTTTATATTGCCAATTGATTTTATATTTGAATCTCAAATATAGATGCAAATTTTTAACAAGGCTAGATTGACGTAATCACACTTGCAAATTACCAAACAACGTTAGGCTGATTAACGACGATGTGAAGAAAGGGTGAGGGTATCCACCAAAGGGCTTTCGATGCCTAAGTCAGATATATAGTTTGAGAAAAACCATGAACTTAGAGAATTTTGAGTAGTATGTGACGACGATTACTATTTTTTCCATTTGACATGACTATTAATGGACCTGAACCCTAGCCAACAACCGAGAGAGGAGGTTGCAAGACGTATTAGGCAGACCTTAACGTTCTACTAGTGACCAATCTCTGCAGTCCTGCCTACAAGTAGTCCCATGTCCCTGTCGATTGGAGCTCAAGCGCACTAGACACCCAAGAGAGACCTTGAAGAGTCAGCTTCCAGTCACCATTGGATTGGATATAACCCAGGCCCGAAGCACCTTTGATACGCTAGTACCCAAAGGCCTAATACTCACGGGGGAACAGGTCACCGGTGCCACGTTCCTTTCCCAAGCACTCCCAATTTCATATACACAACTACGGCCTGGGCTTAAGATGCCATGACAAGAAAATAAGAATAGCAAGTAAAAGCTCTGCAAAATGTGCCATCACTACTACAAACAGTAAGAACCGAAAGTAAATTTCAGTATTACTATGTTACAGTTTTCCCTAAACAATAACTCGGAATGTCGTACAAGTAGAAAATAAAACCACTCCATAGCTCGAAGTTAGACATCATCGCCACAATAACTGGGAATGTCGTACAGGACATCCCTACATTGAGCTACAATTGTTCAAAGGAACGAAACCAATATCTCCGGATGCGTGGTGATTGTGAGCAAATTAAACATAACAAAGCATCTTATATAAACCCGAGCAACGGAACTATAATATGAGCTTCCAGCACCGATCATTTGTAGAATTCAAAGTCAGTGTCGGGCTTCTTCACGTTGGTTTGGTAACCCTTCTCAAAGTCCTTTGGGAGTATGACATACCGATTCTTTCTAACTGCGTGCATTCCTGCTTCTTGACATATAGCAGAAATCTGTACAAACCCAACCATTTACAACAGTTACTATATACTCATTTTTTTATAATAAAAAAAAAAATTGATTAAAGATCTGAGACCACCACAAAGCTTCAATATCTTTACACTCAGAATTAGACCTGGTATTTTGGACCTGACCCGTTAACCCAATATTAGTATTTGGGTGGATGCTTAACGGGTCGGGTCGCTAACGGGTCGCTAACGGGTCACTTTGGGTCAATCCGTTAGCATCCATTAGTTTAAGATGTTTTAGTAATTTCAGTAAAGTCTTAACAACAAAAAATAAACTCTATGCAAAAAATAATAATAATAATAATTGTTAACGGGTGTTAAAGGAGTCAGGTTCGGATGACCCGTTAGCTTAACGGGTCAGGTTCGGATGACCCGTTAACTTAACGGGTCAGGTTCGGATGACCCGTTAACTTAACGGTCGGATTCAACTCAACCCAAACCCGATAAACCCGACCCGTTTACAAGTCTACTTAGAATACTACAGGTAAAGTCCAATAAGAGAACTCATATTCAAATTTATAGCCATTCAGACTGAGGTTTTCATTATCAATCATTAAACGGCTAAATCCAACCCCATTTGACGATGTTAAGAGTCTCCAATGTTGGCATTATTGACAGAATATTCTTAACGCCATAATTCTTCTAAACAAACATCTATTTGTCTAACACCTTGACTGTTAAAAAGCAAAAACCCAAACCCCAAATTAAATTAAAATAGAGAAGAATAAACACATACAACATAGCAGTAACAGGATGTAACATTGGTAGAATAATTAAAACAATAAGCAGATTCTCTCCCAAAAGAAATTAATGTCTCACCTCAGCAGCACTGATTTTGTCTGGCCGAGAGACATAATCTTCCAAGTCTACCTCATCACTCAAATTCATTTTAGCAGTGCAAACCTGCAGGACAAGCACGTACGTTACACTACATTGTTTGCAATAGCTTGCCAAAAATCCACTAGAGTAAGATATCATGAATGCAAGAGAAAATAAAGAAGAAAGGGCATATAGAAAGCTGATGCCAAGTTTCATAAATATTGTAAGACGTAAGGTAGACAACGGACTAAATGGGATAATCTCATCTAGACATTGGGTGCAGGTATGTTTTGAGGTGTCCAACTCATGTGCAATCCACAACTAAGATATAGGGGAAAGTAACTGGTCCATTGATGTGGATGGCACTGAATGGACATCGCAGAAACCACAAATCTTAGGATAACGAGAAGAAAAAAACTCACAGCGTACAAACAACAATTTACCAATGGTAACTCTTTCATTGAAAGATACTTTAAGCATGTTACTTTACCTGGAAAACAAGTCTTTTCTGCCTCCTATCAGGCAAAGGAAACTCAATCTTTCGATCAAGCCTTCCAGGACGCAGAAGTGCAGGATCCAAGGTGTCTGCTCGGTTAGTAGCCATAATAACCTTAACATTCACTGTCTGGTCAAACCCATCCATCTGCAAAAGTTATTAAGCCCAAATCAACTTTGAGAACAGAAAACAGAAAAATAACATTTGAGGGTTAAACTTTAGCTTGTCATTTGTTCAAATATTTTTTCCAACCCCATAGCGATGCACTGAACATCCAAGTTCTGGTTGATATGAAGTATCTCCATTCGGGTTACTTATTCTTTCAAATCTCAAAACTCAAGACCTACCTGATTAAGGAGCTCCATAAGGATTCGCTGAACTTCTCTGTCAGCTCCAGTTTGAGCATCAAACCTTGCAGTAGCAATAGCATCCACCTCATCAATAAAGATGATGGCAGGAGCATTCTCCTTAGCAAGACGGAAAACATCACGAACCATTCGTGGACCCTTGACAAATAAAAAAGAGTGCTCACAATGTTTCAAATTTAGTCAATGAATATAAATCCACAGATAGTGAGGAAACAAGAAAATATCAGTGCCCTTGTACACTCGCCATAATATTTGCTATTCCAAAAATGATAAGGGTACGTGGAATGTAAGAAGTACGATAACACACAAAAAATAGAAAAATTATCTTATATAAAAGCTTACCTCTCCCAAATACTTCTGAACAAATTCTGAACCAACAACTCTGATGAAGGCAGCAGTTGTATGATTAGCAACAGCCTTTGCTAACATGGTTTTACCAGTTCCAGGTGGACCATAGAGTAATACACCACGTGGGGGATCTATTCCAATCTGTTTGTATAACTCGTGGTGAGTAAGCGGCAGTTCTACTGCTTCTCGAATTTCTTGCTTCTGAATGTCACATCCTCCAATATCCTGATACACCATAAAAATAAAAATAAAAATAAAAGGATAAGGGTTGATAAGCCAAAATGCCTACGGAGTCTTTAGCTAAGAAGAAGGAAGAGGCAAACAAACTAATCACATACACAAAAAGCTTCACCAAACAGACGGCTTGACTGCATTTGACTGAGCACAAACAACTTGGATTGGTTTAGTTCAGTTAATAAGAAGGAGAACTGAACTGAACCATAGTACTAGTCTACTACTTAATCATATTAAGTTATGAATTCCATTTATTTTTTTCAAATTACATGTTTTAGCCCTACGTAGTTTAGACAACAATAACAACCAGTTCTCTCCAATAAGGTATAAATTGGAAAAGATAAATGAATTTCCTAGTTTACACAACAATACGAATAATAATAAGCAGCCCATCTCTTGCTTTAAAAGACTCTATAAAGCCTAACGCTTGACAATTTTATGGATACACAAATAGTTAGTTTTCAAAGAACTTGAGTAACGCGTAAAATTTTGGGCTCCACTCAAATTCTCCTAACATAAAGGCCATTGAGCATTGAGAATCAACTCTCGACGCAGTCAAATGACACCAATAGGGTGAGTTATTCAGAATAGCTAGCTTTATAGCCACAGTTCTCCTCAAAAGTTGGCACCTGAGTATCGTTAAATTCGCCAAACCCAAAACCCTAATAGTAATCTATTTAATCCAATTAAGCATTGATAGTAGATAGTCAAACACATGAAGAAAAAAACCCTAAATTAAGTCATAACCCTAATCAAATTAATTGGGCACAACTTAGCACGACTTACAGAGTAGGTGACGTCAGGCTTCTCGGATTGGCTGAGGAGAGAAATACTCGAGTCGGCCTCCGGAGGCAGAACGTCGACGAGGGCATTGGAGTGGCGGTGCAAGGCGACGGAAGCGGAAGGCTTGAGGAGCTCCCGATTAATGGTACTGAGAATCCTAACATAGTAATTGGAGCCGGTGGTGGAGCCCACAATCCCGTTGTTCTGGTCGACCATCTCCATGAACTGCCCGATGACGAGCGGCACCGATTGGATCCTCTTGACCTCCTCCTGGGCGCGGAGGAGCTCGCGCTTCAGATTCTTCAGCTCGTCCTTGACGTACTCCTCCTGGATGTCGATGAACTCAAGCTGCCGCTGGTAGGACTTGAGGCGGCTGTAGAGATCGTCCTCGTCGGAGGCCTGGCTCTGCTCGATGTAGCCCTGGAGGTCGGATCTTATGGAGGGGATCGATGCCGGTGGCTCCGGCAAGGGCTTCGGATCCAACACCATGGCTGAGCCTGCCATTGTTGCGCTCTCGGAGGGTTTAGGTTTGGTGCTTCGATTCTTCTGGTTCGCTCTGGGGAGAAGAGAAGCGATGGGAGAGAGAGATGGAGTGAGCCTTACGAAAGTACAGTTCCGACTATTATAGCATATCTGGCAGTGTAGAGGACGACGTCGTTTATATGCGTTTAAAGCGGTTAGATTGGGCAAAGGGAAATCCAAATCAGTTTTGAAGCGGTTAGCTTGGGCTCTTAAACGGGCCCAAATATTTGTTGGATTACCACCCTATGACCCGGCCCAAAAGGGCAAAAACCGCATCTGAACATCTTTAATCCTATAGTTGTAGAACCTCCATCCAAAGATTCACCCTCCATGGAACACTTTGCTCGAAAGGCAGCCAGATGAGCATAATACGAGGGAGAAATTTTGACGTTAGAATTTGTTAGTAATGTTAGACTTTTGATTTATGTCTTTTATTTTTATCGTTAAATGATGATGCATGTAGCAAATATGGACACATAATTTCATTGTTTGTTTACCTTTTTTAACAATAAAAGAACCGGGAGGGAAAGTTTTGAAATCAGGTGCAATGAGTGTATTTACAAAGGCCCAACCACTTAGCCAATACGCTATGCCACTTACCTTTTACTTTGATTTATAACCAAGGTCGACCATGAACCAGGATGAGTCAAGTGACCGCCAGGGGTCTAAAAAAATCGAGAGCACAAAAATAGTAGGTAGTCATCTACATATGTTTTTATTGAATAATTGGCGCTAGCTACACTGATTATCGTTAATTACCCTTGGATTGAGCATTTTAGGTTCGAATTGTACAATCTGTGGTTTTTTTTTTCTTTCCACTTTACAATGTCTTGTTTGGTTATGAACTTATGAGTACTAGCTTGTTTTTTTTCTTTCCATTATACAATATTATTATTACTGAAAATTTGATATTAGCCCTTGAAACTATATTTTCCTCTACTAAAACCTATCTCTTTTTGGTTTTTTGAATAAAGCTCATTGACTAGCCTCCAACTAAACAAATTCTTTAATTAAGTTTGACTTTTTAAATTGTGTATTTTTCGAATGCCTAAACTACACCTATTAATACTTGGATGGGGTTTTTGGATCAGTTACTTGTTTTATCCATTTAATTAATTTTATATATTTTACAAAATAATTCATGTCATTCATTGTATATTCAATGTATTAACTTCAAATTGTTATAGTGCCAATTGAAATAAAATAATAATTTCTAATTTTGTGCATTAAATATAATAAGTTAATTTACCTACAACAACAGAATAAACCTAAAATAGCTTCGGCTAATACTCCCAATCCCTAATACACAAAACAAAGCGATATGTTTCGTGCAATTTTTACTACAAAATCTATTACCTATTCCATCAAACCAAAATTTAAAGGGTCTAATTTACTTCAAAATGGTCTAATTTACCTACTTGATTTAATGTGCATTAGATTAAAGCTTTATTTAATTGCCTACAAGCACAAACCCCAACATCGAACATTATCAATATCTATTTTTTTTTTTTTGGAATAGGTAATTAATTTAAATGTAGGTAAATTAGTATAAATATTTATAAGTAGGTAAATTAATTTAAATGTAGGTAAATTAGTAATAATTTTGTATGTAGGTAATTACATGATTCAAAATCCAGGCAAATTAGTATAATATTTTATAAGTAGGTAAATTAATTTGTATGTAGGTAATTACATGATTCAAACAATATTATTTTTTCCGTACAAGATATGTCTTTTCTTTTTTAATTTGGTAAATTAATTTATATATGTTGCTAATATTTATGATACAAGAAAGGTAAAATATCCATATGGATTTAATTGCTCATCTTAATTAGGATGAGTAATAACATTTATTGACCAAATTAAGATTTTGTGGCATAAGTTGTAAATGTATTGTAATAGTTGGTCATATATTTGCCTACATGGTAGACTATTTGAAATTTAGGTTTTATTTGAATGTTTAAATTTAGGTGGATTTTTATTTAAAAAATTGGAGTTTCAATGGCATATATCTAAATAACCCTTATTATTATGTAGTGCTCATTTATCTGTTATGCATAAAGATTAAAGAATCCAAGATGCTTTATAAATTTCTTTTGATTCCTCATAAAGGTTAGTATATGAGAAAAAACTCATCGGTTACAAGTTTTATACAACAACACTTCAAGACCTCAAATTGAAGAATAAAAACTCATTATCTATCAACTTGTAATCTAGGTTAGGGCACTTATTTTGGTGTTGCCCCAAATCTTTAAAATCTCATGACCGGACTCTATTTAAAAATGTAGTTTTATTACAGCCCCTTAAACAAAAAGATCACAAAATTCCAACTTTATTAAAATATAAACACATATTACAATTAATTTACACAAACTATAAACTAGTTGAAGTTTTGAACTAGCAACACAATTTATCATTTGAAACGACAAATTAAAGATTTAGGGAAAAAAAATAAACAAGAATTAACACCCACACAAAGTGCAATGACTTAATTAATTAAGAGATGGAAAACCTTCGTCTTCTAGGCTTGGTAATATCCACATCCTCATCCACGATGTTCGAAGTGTCCTTCGACCCTTGCTTGAAGGGATTTAACCTCCCCAATTTCTTCGATACATACGAGAAAAATTTCGCCTTTTTGGGCCCGCCACCTCCTTTACAAGACGACGTCGTCGCAACAGCCGCAGGCCCAGTCTTATGCAGGTCCGTAATGTACATCTTCATCTTCAGCAACTCTGTTCTCAACTCCTCGTTCTCCCTCGCCAACGACACGTCGTGTTGTACCTGACTCCTCGTCGTTATTGCGTCTTGCACGTCGTTTTCATCCACCCCGCTCCTCAGCTTTAGTTGGTCGTAATACAACGCGTGTAGTACGATTTGAACGGGAAGTCGTTTGTTTTGCGAAGCGTGCACTCTCGCTTCGTAAGACAACTTCAATGCGTCCATTACGCTGCACACCTTCTCCTTCTCTATCTCATCAAGGTTCGGGTGAGACTGCATATGAGTAATTAATCACAATTAATGGACAATTTTACGATTTAATTGCAAGTAAAGTGCATTTTTATTGATCTCGAGATTTTGGAGCAAAAGTAAATGTCATTAAACAACCGAGTTACAAATTACTTGCTTAAAGATATATTTGAAATTGTTGTAACTAAAGTAAATGAAATTCATATTTTCAATTCAGGAAAAAATAATCGAAAGTAATTTTGATATAAGTTTTGTTAGCAAGGTTGAAAGACCGTCTTACAAGTTTCCTAAAACAAAATTTGAGCCTAAATTTGAAATTGTAACTCTAAGCTTCCATCTCTTCAATTTGTGGTCTGAAAATTAAATTCAACGATTATTTAAATTGACGAGTTAAGCAAGTTCTTAGTTATATTCAAGTCACTAGCACAATGGCCTAGTGGTCTATCACTTGCAAATATAATTTTTTAGAGTTAAGTAAATAGAGATTTCAATACTAATTTAATTTGTTGTCATATTGTGTAATTGATTTTAAACTAATTTATTTATCTGTCATATTGTGTGGTTTAGTCTAAAATGAATAATATTCGCCGTCCCCTCATTTTTCTTGCAAATAATGTATCTTGACCGGTACAAAATTCATAATCAGAGTCGTTCAATCTTTATTTATTTTTCTAATGTATATAACAAATGACGGTGCAAGTAGCAAATAGTATATTCAATTAAATGTTTATTGATATTTTTGAATGATTAAACAATTTCTAATTCAAGTGTAAGATTGACCTTCAATGAAGATTAATAAATTATAAAGTTCGATCGTTAATTTATTTGATCAAGATACGTTATTTGCAAATAATAATATGTGCATGGGATACAAGTATAATGTATCTAAATACGATTCATGAGTAAAAAGAATTAATTAATTCGTAATTAGTAAATTACCTACCTTCAAGTAAATATCAATAGCACGATAGAGATCGTCGTCGACTTTGCGCGCGCCTTTGGGGATGAGGCTGGCGATGCCATTGAACTTCGAGATACTGAGCCCAACACACGTGGCGATCTCACCAAGATACGCGTCGACAGTCTTTGCGATTCTAATCATCGCCGCCGAGCAAACCTCCCTGAAATCGCCGGCGTTGAAGACCGCGACGCTCTTCTCCTTCTCCACGAACCCGGAGATAATCCTCCTCACGCTCTCCAGATCGAAGAGCCTCTCGCCGTCGTAGGTGAACGACAGGACCAGGAGGTCGTCGACTGTCACGTGCTCCAGGACCGCCGAGATCCGCCTCTCGAGCTCGGTCTTGCACGTGCTCGACGCCTTGACGAAGATCGCAGATCTGAGGAGGCAGCAGAGAAAGTTAATCGGGAGAACGGCTTTCTCAGTCGGTAAGATCTCGACGATCGATTCCAGAAGCTCCCGTTGTTGAAGCCGCAAATCGGAGTCGTCAGAAGCGGCCAATTTCGCGGCGGTTCCGGAGTGGTCTCGGACAAGATCTCGGAGCCATTTCTCGGCGTACGTTATGATAGCGCTGGCGACGGTCAATGCTTTCACGCCGCGCAGCTTCAACGAGGCGATTACTCTGCCGAAGAACTCAATGTCCAAAATCGACAATTCCTCAGTCCACCAATTCTTCGGCGATCGACTCGGAAATTTCGCTTCGATTGATACCTGTAATCAACAATTAATGACGTAATTAATCGAATTATTTCAATAATTAATGAGAAATTGATTACTGGCTAAGTGGCTAGAAGATGATTACAGTTAAGTACCTTGGAAGTGGCGACATCGACGCATCTCTGTACAATTTTGAGGTCCTCCGCCATGGGAAGGAGGTCTTCGCAGGTCTTGAGCACGACAATGGCGCCGGAGAGGCTCGTGAGAGCGACCTGAGCTAAGAAATCTTCGGTGCGGCCGGTGAGGTTGTTCTCGCAGTACTTATCAGTCATTTCCAAATACTCCGCCGCGCAGCGGAGGGCGGCGACGTTGTGAACTGTGATCTCGAAGTTGACGCCGTAACAGAACTTGGCCGCCTTCTCGAACGTCTCGGGGCCTCCGGGAATGTCGGAGAGGTTGATTCTCGTTAGGTCCGGTTGTTTTGACTCCATTATCAGTTTTCTTATGCGGTTGCTCTTGGCCACGAGCATGAACTGCAAATACATTAATTAAGTGAGTAATTCCTTCTAATTAATTTTTTAATCACGTTGGTTTAAGCATGCATGCACAAAATAGAGTGTTTGTATGAATCGTAAAACGTCACTGTACTTAGTTTTGTGAAGTTCGAACGAGATTTGAACTCAATCTATTGAGTTTAGTACCTTGTGTAGAGAGAAATTGGCTTCACCAACTTCAACCACAACATCTGACGGAATATCTTGAGAGATAATCCTACAAACACACACGTAAAAATGATTAGAAGAAGCTTGTTAATTAGGTTTAGACAAAGAAATTAGTCAGCATGCATGATGTATGGATAGATATGTCCGGCCAGCGGCTGACGCAATGATCAGCCGCCGTGCCGAACCCGGTTTCCTGGTACAATGCGAGAGAGGGTTTGATTGTTGTAGTTACCATTGGCCAGTGCGCTCCATGGCAAGGGAGAGCCTGTTACCGCCGCTGAGAGAAGAAGCCATGGGAGGTGGGAGGAGCTTGGAGCTCTTGTGCAGAGAGAGGAGAGAGAGAGAGTTATGTGGCCTCTGAATAATAGGGGTCACGATGGTGCGTTACATAAAGAGCTTTATTTACCCCTGTTTTTTGTGGGATAAGGGCGAGATAATTATGGATTCATGCATGGACAAGTCTTTTATCTTTTTGTTATACAACGACTAGCTTGATAACTGTAGTTGAGATTCTCTGTGAAGCCAGATTGATTTGGAGATTCATACAATTTATTTTTAAAATTTTAAATTATTTGATCTTTATTAGTTCATTTTACTGGTCACTTTACACAAATCAAGAGTTAAAATCTCTCTTTCTCTCTTTTTAACAGTCCGAATTTATGAGTCCTTGAGTTTTGGACACAGATATTCGAAAAAGAAAAGAGATCCTCTCCGGATATCTTTCTCCAAAGTCACAAAATCAAGTGATCCGAACTTTTAAAATTTGATCAAACGATCAAAAATTATTATAACTTTTAATTTTTTTTTATTAATTTTTTTTTATTAATTTCTTTGTTTTTAGTCGATTGATTAAATTTCAAAAGTCTGAATCACTTGATTTAACAACTTTAGAAGAAGAGATCCGAAGATCCTTTCCTTCGAAAAAGATCTAGACTCTCCCTTCTAAGTTGTACTTTTAATTTTCGACGATACTTATCCTAATTCTAATAGTCACTACTTGGCAGAATAGAGCTGGTCATACGTACATACAGTACTATTGGTTCTTTCCCGTGAAAAGTAGTTGGTTTTCCCTTTGAATCATTTAATATCTTTCGTTGTGAAGTAATGGATTATTGGAATTCAATTTGCACCCAACCATATTTTGTCGTCAGATACTCTTAACACGCTCTTTACGTGTAATATTCTTGTTATATCTAAAACATAAATAAGTTAAATAAAGTGATATTTGTGAGCAAGTGAAGCTGTAGGGGTCGCCTCACAGATGGTCTGTTGAGATATCGTGTTGGAGTGAACATCATACACATGGTCAAGTTATTTTGCTAAAGATTTCGGCAACTATGCGACGTCGTTTTAGAATAATTAGGGTAGGATGGGACGTGACGTTGAATCTTGGGACCGGGCGTAAATGGTCCGGTCCTCACTGCATGTCTCCACCACGCAAAACACAAGTGGTTAGGACTCGTGCCAGCGTCGACTTCGCCAAACAACTGGCGTGCTTGCCGCCACGTCATTATACAGTCCAATTTGAACATTCCGGCGGGTCTACAGGTCGGACAGCTGACATGTTGGCCGTGAACAGGACAGGTAGGATAACGTGCTGGGCTCCCAAAGAAGCTATTTTGGATCTCTATAGCCAATGACATGTGAACGCGTGGCATTTCCTTCACTTTTTGAAAGAAACATATGTTTTTGTATATCCATTCCACAATGTATTTTATAACTTTGAATTGTCTATCTTTAAAACATCATTTATAGATTATTTTTAAAAAAAATTAACAAATCAAAAGTTATTAAGACATTTATTTGCGATAAAGAAAATAGACGGATATAATTGTACAAAGAAACCATAAACCCTTAATTTATCGGTCATATGATTTCAGATTTAGGTGATTTCTTGTTGACATGATTTTTTAGGAAAGATTTAAAAGATAAGCGATTTAGATCGTTGAAATACATTACGGAGTATGTTGCGCAATAATGTTTGCCAAAAATTGTGTAAAAAAAAAAACAATATCACGGATGCGGCCGCTAACCAAAAATTAAATTTACTTGATACAAGCAATTTGCTTGTAGTTTATAAACGGTTGCATTGCACGCACATGAATTTCAAAGCTTATAGTAATCTTACTCACGAGGGAAGGAAACTCAGATCCATCTTAAGATCATTGACTCGGTGAAAAAGTGCGTAAGTGGAGATTTTTTCTTCATTATCCAAAAAGAGATACACTCCCCATATACCTAAAACTTTTACTGGATGTGGCGTTATCAAATCCCCAAAAGTGCTTGAGATTTTCGGTGTGCTGGAAACATAATTTGTTACATCAAGAATAATAATACAATTGGTTAGACACTTCAAAAAAAAAAAATCTAACAAATTCTATCATGACGCTTGATGTAAGAGGCCGCGTTTCCGACACACTAAAAACTTTCTTCAAAAATGCAAAAATTGAGATTATAGAAATGAGCTTTTACGAAGCGAAAGCTGGCTGGGTTAATGGTGAACAAATGCATATGGATGGGTGTTCAAACTTGAAGTGATGGCTTTTGCATGTGGGAGCAAAATCTTTCATGGGATTTTGCTAATTAGTTGCAACTTGTGGTGGCAAATTAGAGAGGTTGGTCCCTTCTCCCTTGGAGATGGATGTTGGGCAAATTTGTGGACTGAAATCAAACCAGCTTTTCCAGTTTTGTTTGAAAAAACAAAATGTCATGAGTCATGAAGTCTATTATTTTGAAAGGTGGGTCATTGTGTTTCGTACTTGATCCAAAAGGGAAAATTAGCCAGCTTTCCAATATTTGGCGGATAATCGTTCAAAGCTTTCAAGGAGGTGGTTCATATATGGTCTACAAAATGTGGTATTTCAAACATTTTTCTTCTAATAAAAGTTTTTTTTAATAGTAAAATTGCTTATAAGCGTAAGTGTTATGTATAAAAGCAGTCCTAAACAGATAAAGAACTAGTCCTACCCATTATGCATCAGAATTGACCCAGTCCATTCAAAATACTGGTTTAGCCCAATGGTCCCAAGGCCCAATTCATAGGGTTTCGTTTCTTTCTATATTTTTTTTGGGTCTGCAAGCTTATGGCATGAGATTGGTGAATGGTGATGAGTTTTGAGGATTGAGATCCACTCCTGACCTATTTGTCGGAGCTTGTAAAATTAGAGATCTAAATTACTCAATTTCAATTTTACAGTTCCCATTAATCAATCGCACTCGCTCACCACACAAAAACTTAAACGGTCCTGACCTTTCTCTCTCTTGAAAGGTCCGGTTTTGGGTATGCGGGTTCTGAACACAAAAATTATGAGTGGACCTCAATCCGAATTTTGGTCCAAAAACCATAGTTTAATTATATGAAAACTAATTAGCCGGCCACACCGCCTCTCAAAATAATTATATTGTAAAAAATCAAACTAAAAATAATAAATTGATAGCTTCATATTCACGTGACTATGAAATTTCTAAGTGATTCAAGGCAAAAAATAAAATAAACAACAAAATATAAGATGCCAAAAATTATATATATTAGTTGAAGCTAGAAACAAAAAGTCAATGTGTCGAGGTAAACAGTTGAGAATCAGATATTAATATTCCTTGTTTAAAGGTAGAAGAGTTCCATTTAACTATATCTCCTTGTAATTAGGCACAAAAGCTTGACAGTCCACACGTATCAATTAAACGTTACCTAATTTAAGGAAATTGGATGATTCTTTTGTTATATTATTTGTTACATATAAAAGAAAATTGTACCCTACATTCAACGTTGGAGCGAAACTCTGTCTATGGAGGCCGATGCTATGGATTTTTATAAAAATTGCGTAAACAATTGTGAATGTATGCCACTGCTTTGACCATGTCTGTAATACATGATCATAATTCTAATATAACGTCACTCTCGCTCATCGCTTGAGCTAACTTTGTATCTTTCAGTTTAACACATTAATGTAATTATTCGGCTAGAATTAGATACTACCAACAAATCCAACTTTGATGGTTTAAAAATTTGTAAGCCTAAACTCATCCACTACTATATAATTGACCCTAAAATCATGTATAAATTTGACTTCATATTCCATGAATTGAGATTCTCTTCGGATCTCTGTCCGGAGTCCGTGAATCAAGAGATTCGGACTACTCAATTTCAATCATACAACATCTATTAGCTCATCTCACTAACATACCTCACACAAACTAAGAATTTAAATCTCTCTCTTCACCGCCCAAATCTCTAAATTATTGAGCTTCATACACATAGATCTTGAGAAGATCTCTATTCATGTTCAATAGCCCTCGCTTTCAAAACTGCCGTTTGCTTATTTATTTATTTTAAATAATAATTTTTAATTTTTGTTACGTGTGGTTGAATTGTAGACTGCAGGTTTTTTAATCTGCTGATTAATGAGAGAAGGATAGATAATACCGATTTAGTAAATAAATAATATTAATTCATACCATATATATAGGGCCGGACTTAATAGACAATACACATAACATGCTGGTTGACGAGGACTGAATTTTACATGTTCCCACTCGCCACGTATTGATTATTATTCTTGCAATAGTTATGTTAGGATTATTCTTGCAATAATTAATAATTAAAGTTAGTGTTTAACACCAATATCTTGTTTCTTCTCTAAAAAAAAGAAAAAAAAAAAGAAACACCAATATCTTGTATAGATATGAGCTTTTCGAGGTGGTAGGAGCAGTGTGATTTTCCGTTTAAAACTCCTTTTTACATTATAGATAAATTTAGTTTAGAATTTCGTGTCGTTTGTCAGACAATTAGTAAAGCAGGAGCGGCTACAATTATAGATAAAATGAGAGAAAATCGTTAAAGATGGTTTGAACATATGAATCGATAACCTACAAATGTTCTGGTTAAAAGATGCAATTATGATATAGATGCTCACCATAAAAGCGTAGATGAAAACCTAGAAAGACTTGTAAAGAGGATATAAGAAAACACAGGAAATAATTTGAGCTTACAGAAGATTTAACGCAAAACCGAGTGCAGTGATGCTTTAAAATTCATGGAAACGACTCTCCTTAGTGGAATAAGACTTTGTTATTATTGTCAGACAATCAATATTTAAGTAACTCAATGGACGGTCTTCGTCTTGCTAAACGATTGAATTTTAACTAATTGCCTTCGTTAGTAATGCAGTTACCACCTAATTAAATAGTACCTCTACTTCTTGTTCTTATAGGCCAAGCTGGTTTATTTGGCCACCTAATTATATTGTGTAATACCTTATGATTTACCTTTTCAAATCTGTGTAGAAAAGAGATAAAGTTAATGAGATGTGGATAATTTAATCAACTTTTAAATGTGGAGTCATGGAC